ACTATTAAGGGTACATTTAGGAAACTTAAGTTCCTCGTACTATTAAGAGTATGTTTATAATTTGCGTACTGCTTAAGAGTACGTTTATACATAGAGTCTAATGTGGAGGCCCGGCTTATTACAAAGATAGGATTTTATGACTCTCGGATTCACCCCAATGAAACATACCATAGTTTCTTATAGAGCGACAACGAAACACTAAATAAAATCAAATCGGTCGCCGAACAAACATCAATACAAAGCCCTAAACCCCAAACGACCTTTACTTGAGGGTTAGGGTTTAGGGTTTAGGGATTTTGCGGCGCGCATCCTCATGTTCCACCCAGGTGTCGCGGTGTGATTCTAAACCCTATAGAAAAAAAAACAGGGCTTAAAACTTTTGCAGTCAACACTCGGTTTGAAAACGATTCATTTTATTTATGCTTTATTAGATTTAACTCGGCAAAACATATGTTAAGCGTTCCTGTGACGGCGCTTTCCGGGGTTTAGAGTTTTAGGGTTTTAGATGCAGTCTACAAAATACCACTTCTGGTCCTCGTACTCGATAAATTTGCCGGCAATCATCAACACGACAACATCGGCACTGGAGTAGTTGACAACAATATGATCGTTCGCCACGCTCTGGATAAAGACCTGTTCCTTCATGATCCACTTGTTATTAAGGGCAGTCTTGCTAGTGTTGACGGTGAGTCGGATATTGTCGCCATTCGCCGCGACGCATAGTAAACTCGGTATCGGAAACATACTCAATCATCCAGCAGTCCGGTTTCTTGGTGACCATGATAGCCTTGTTGTTGACAATGTCTAGGCACTGGTTCAGTGTGTCGTCGGGATGCGTAGTGCGACACTCCTTTACTACCATAGTAGGGGTGCTCTGGTCGCCACCATTGTTACTGTTGACAGTGTTACCCCCGCCATTGTTGTTGACCGTGTTGCCGCCGCCGTTTGTGACATCAATGGACGTGTCAATGACTATATCTCCGGCAATAGTGTTATCGTCAATATAAATGTTGTTGACATTATTGACAACGGTCTCATACATACGCGGGTCGATACGGACTTCAAGATAGCGCGTCTCCTGCGGCTCAGCCGCAGCGGCGGGGGCAATGGGTATAGTGCGGGCCATCTGGTCCACGTCTCCAGCGTCAATCTCATAGACCATAGCTTCAGGGTCAGATTTGGCGACGGACTCGACCAGGCTAAACACCATGTAAACAGTCGCGTTCGAAGTATGGGCCACAAGACCAATGTTCAGTACCATAGTGTCCGTGTCCGGGGCGTAGGGTATCATGGGGAACACGAACGGCTCGTAAATGACCGAGGGCTGAACGTCGTCGGTCACCCGGGCGTGGGGGGGAATGGTCGGCGCCGCGGCAGCGGTAGAGGGCAACATAGACTGGACCACAAGGCACGCGGTGGCGGCGGTAAAGATCGAGTTGATATAGTGGTAAAGCATTTTTATATATAGGGTTTAATGTTACTGGAGTTTGAGGTTGGGTTGTTCTTTTTAGGGTTAGCGAATATGTTTAGGGTAAATCGATTACTCTTCAGCAAGATGAGCGGGGAGTTTGGTGGTTGTTTGTTTTGTTATAAGGAAAAAAAGTAAAAGTGTGAACGATACGGTGAATCCACACACGAGTTATATAGCCGGTTGTTTGGAGTCACGCTCCACTAAAACGGAAGTCCTAAAAAAATAACCTTAAAACCTAATCGTGATCACCAACCATGTCCGAACGGTGAACCCCCCACCAAACTAGAAGCTGCTGCTATGTATATATATATATATATATATAAGTGCGTTTTGCATCTCACACAACACACTTTAATTATACACCGAGCGAATGAGAGTAAAGAAGAAAAGGGAAAATAGTCAACAACATCAATAATGTATGAACTTCTGAGATTGCTTTGTGTGTGGAAACACATGACTATGGTTGCCCCTGATGCTACCACTCAAAACCTGGTTGGAGTCCTAGGGGGAAGCCAAAATTTAATGGAAAAGTCTAAACTTTGCGCTGCGGCACACGAATCCTATAAGAGGTTCGAGAAACGTATTCTCTTTTATGAGCACCTCTGCCAGATGATTCGGAACAGATACAACATGCCACCAATTGAGATGATTGGTCCCGTGGATGACTTGTATGAGCGTATTTGTAACCGGTTGAGGTATGGTAGAGATGCCTTGATGGCGAGGCATGCATATCTTCGGAACGAACTTAAACCGATGATGGCTCAAATGGTGTGTGTAGACGCTGGGATCTATGTAAAAATAGTCGCGTGTACTAACATCAAGCGAAACTTGGAAGATCAGGCAACACTTGTACCGGTGATGAAGGAATTTGGTGACATGCTTCACTTGATTCACACAGAGCCCGACTGCGTGCATGATGTGTGTATGGAGGTTGTAGTAACGACACTAACCACACCACTATCAATACCACCAGATACACCGCCGCCTGTAACCATAGCGTTGTCGGACGACGCTGTGACCGAACCAACAACCACAACATCATCACCATCATCATCATCAACAACAGCACCACCAATACCAGATACACCGCTACCTGTAACCGTAGCGTTGTCGGACGACGCTATGACTGGAACAACTCTTATACCACAGCCACCAATACTAAAAACATCTGTACTCTCGGGGTTGTCGAATGTTACTGTGACCAGAAAAAGAAAGGAAAGGATGGGTTATGCAGGGGAATACAGAAGAGATAGTTATTGTCGTGAAAGGGAATATCTGTCAAGCAACCCCAAGCGGACTGACTGTAGTGTCCTAGTTTCGTCGATTGGTTTATATCGAACCTCGGGACAGTCGGTAGTTTATAAACTCCAGAAGCTAATCAACGAAAAACCTTGGCTATTTTCGGGTTTGGACGTGAAACATGAAGAGGGTGAGCTGAAGAAGGAGTTAACGGTGATAATTCACGAATATTACAACCGCCGCACTCGGAAGTACAACCTTGAGCACAAAAGCCCTCTTTGTAAAGCATTGTTTGTAAAATTCCTAATTCGTGACTGCAATGGTAGTCTCGTGGAAATGATGGCGTTTAAAACCCTGTTTGACGAGTGCTGGATCTCGAACAATGCGCTAACCAACAACAACAATATAGGAGTTTAGAGTTAGGAGTCAGCATATACATACATAAAGTCAATAAAACGAACCTTAGAACAATGCGCTGTCAACAATATAGTGGGGTAGAGTTTTAGGAGTCTCAGTATATACATACATAACGTCAATAAAACGAACTTTAAGGTGAAGTTTATTTTAATTATTTAAAGATTTAAAAGGTAAACCCTCTTAGGGTTTAGGTGTTGCAAAACAAAAGTTAAGCAGCCAAACGGGGCCGGTGATGCTGATATGTTCCCGTTTTGAGGATTCTCTGCTTGCACGGCTTGCCATCCTTCTTTGTTACACCATACCTCATCTTGCGAGTGGGCTTTTTAATCCTTGGTACCACCACCTTTGGTGGAACCGGGTCCATAGGCCCAGAGTGAAAGACATGGCTGTACTTCCACCCCTCGATAGTCCTAGCTATGCGATCATCGTTCTCCAGTTCCCGGTGTATTAGCAATACAAAAACGTTGTTCCAAACAACAATATTGGACGTTCTGTTGTAGCACACTTCCAAGAGTTTCATGGTGTTCTCGAATGTCTGTTCGGTGTCGGGCACAACATCTGTTACCAGGAAGTCCCCTACAATGTTAAGGAGGTTTATGCCATTACGATTCAACCACCATTCTTCACTCAGATCAATGTGATCGTTAAAGTGACCCTTGTAGTCCAGTAGGTCCGCTGTAATGGAGTCCTAAAACGACTTGACCATTTTTAAAATACCTAAACGCAAAAACGGAGGGTGGGTTTTGCCAAAATTTTGGTTTTGGGATGTAAGTGTGACTTATGATGAACAATCACACACCATATATATACTAGCTACTATTGTGGTGAATGTTTGGGGTTTGGGGTGAAATCATACATGACTTGTGGGTGGTTCACCGTTCGGACCTCACCGGTCAACCACCACGTCACGATAGTCGGCTCTGGGTATATAAGGGTAAGGTGCAGTCGTCAAACGAACAGTCTCAATTTTTATTCTTGTTACTTGCACTCGGAGAATGATGATGGCCAACAACGATACCAGCAGCAACTACGGTGGGTCTGGGAATGGGTTCACGTCGTATATTGATCTCACGGACTCCAAACCAATAACGAGGATGGTACGTTACGAACAAGGAACGACATTTGACGATCCTGACATGACCATGGTAGCAACCAAAATGTGTCTACTAGGCCCCATAAGTACGAGGTTCCAGGCTGATGTTGTCGAACCACCGCCTAAAACCGAACCTCAAACAATTACCACTACCCCCCCCCACTACTAGTAATGATGATGGGTCAACAATACCTGCAATGGTTACAGAGGCTGACCACCGTGTGAGTCTTAGTATGGAATCGATTCGCGAACACATGCTTACCTGTGGCGTTTGTACCTGCGTTTCAAAAACGATGACTACTACAGTGTGTTGCACATTTATCATGTGTGTTACATGTTGCAACAGACTACCGAGTGATGCGTGTCCCAACTACCGCCAGCCCGGTGTGGCGCTTGCTCGGAACCTTATATTCAAGCATTTACTGCAGGCGTTTGAGTTTTCGTGCACCAAATGCAACGAACGTCTGAATCCTATTACCAGTGAAGGGCACGGCTGGTTTTCCCACGAGGTCACAGCGGCAACCACGGAACCAGGGCGATTAATAGGGGCCAAGGGGTTGCAAGATTTCAAGACTGTGAGTAACTTGGCACTGCCCGACAAGTATAAGACGCTACTGAATAAGTATTTCCAACCCGCATCAAACCAGTACCTCTTGCACATGAGACTTGGTAAATACTACGCATTGTAGATTCATGAGTTTTGTAGGCTGCGAGATGAACCCGAGTCACCGCTAGTAGCATTTGTGCGTCAGAAGCATAGGGCAACAGGAGTTGCAAAAGGTCGTGTTATGCAATGTATTAGAGCTGACAGGTTGCATGCAATGCGAAATAAACTGCTCTATATGGGTTAAATGTCTCGTATTGTACCTAGAGAGCTTGCTAGCAACAACCCTAAAATCCCAGTTAATCAAAGCCCTAATAAAGAACCCTAAACCCTAAAACTATCATATGCGTGTTGTGTGGATTGTGTGCCACGTGGCAAAGTTTCCACTCACATGAACGAACGAGGATATATGTGTATGTCAGAAATCAAAGTGTAAAGTTTAAAGTGTATGCATGTGTATGTCAGAAATCAAAGTGTAAAGCTTAAAGTGTATGCCTGTGTATATCAGAAAACAAGGTGTAAAGTTTGAAGTGTATGCATATGTATGTCAGAAAACAAGGTGTAAACTTTATTCAAAGTGCAAGGTTTAAAGTGTGTGTGTATGTATATATCAGAGATCAAAGTGTAAGATCTAAAGTGTGTGTGTATGTATATATCAAAGATCAAAGTGTAAGGTTTAAAGTGTGTGTGTATGTATATATCAAAGATCAAAGTGTAAGGTTTAAAGTGTGTGTGTATGTATATATCAAAGATCAAAGTGTAAAGTTTAAAGTGTGTGTGTATGATATATCAAAGATCAAAGTGTAAGGTTTAAAATGTGTGTGTGTATGATATATCAAAGATCAAAGTGTAAGGTGTGTGTATGATATATCAAAAATCAAAGTGTAAGGTGTGTGTATGATATATCAAAGATCAAAGTGTAAGGTGTGTGTATGATATATCAAAGATCAAAGTGTAAGGTTTAAAGTGTATATCGGAAATCAAGGTGTAAAGTTTTATTTTGTTTTGGTATTATTGTGTGTAAGCTTAGCTTTATTCATTTAACACCCTATTCGGTACTGCATACCTTGCACAAATCTGTAGTTCCCGTGATTGGAACTTCGGCCAGCATCTTATTCTTAAGTGATCGACACGCGTGGTTTCGATGCACCTTTTCCTTTGAACACGCAATCTGGTAGCCCGTACCAGACTGGGTAATTGACGATAGTGGCAGCCATGTAGCGGGAGTTGTGGGAATAGTCGCGGTAATGGTGGGTACACGAGCGATAGGAGTAGTAGTCGTGGTAGTAGTTGTAAAGGCACGAGCAACAGGAACTTGGGTTGGTGCTTTCGGTAGCTCGGCGAGCATGGCTGCAATGTCAGCATACTCAACCGACATTCTCACAACCTCTGGCGTGTAGCACTTCTTACACAAGTCGGTTTGTTCCAGTCGCCACCATTTCCTCCACGTCCTTATTCTTGAGGGAACCACATGTTGTCTTAACGTGCACTTTACCCTTAGCTGCACCGGAAATTCTGTATCCCATGCGGAACTGGACAGGCGGAGTCACGGCGGTAGTGGGTTCACGTATAAGGGTCTGGTCAACAACCGGGGCACCAGTAACAACAGCGGCACCAGTGGGGGAGGGTGCTGGTGGGTGTAGAAATACGGCCTCCGGTCAGTCTAAAATATCAAGATCAATTGAGATAATACATTGGTTTTTATTTGTATTTTAAATAATTTAATATAAGCTCTTTTTCCAATATTTCCAGTGTTCTAAATTCACTTTGATGGCTCCAATAGCCTG